TTTCCTCCCCACTTTTCCCCTATCCCCCCCCCCTTCCCCCTGAGGTTGGATGGTCTGTTCAATGCTTCTATGTCTCTGGATCTATTTTAGTTCATCAGTTTCTGTTGTTCATTATATTCCACATATGAGTGAGATCATGTGATACTTATCTTTCTCCGACTTTAATCCTCACCTGAGAATACTTTTCTATTGATTCTTAGAGTAGAAGGAAGGAGAGAGAGAGAGAGAGAGAGAGAGACATTGATTTATTGCCTCCTGCATGGAGTGGGGATCGAGCCTGCAACCGAGGCACATGCATCCGACAGGAATTGAACCCAGGACCCTTCAGTCTGAGGACCGACGCTCTAGCCATTGAGCCAAACTGGCTAGGGCGGGCCTTCTTATTTCTTGACCACCGTTTCCTCTTCTGTCTCCTGTGGTCTCTTCTAATCTATCCTTCGTATCATTAAGCCTAATAGTTAATGTTGAAGAAATGTCTCTCTTGGAAAACCTGTTTGCTTTTATTGACTCAATTCAGATGAAGCAATGAGATAACTAGACAAGACAAGCTGATACACAGGAAGTAGAACTTGTGATCCTAACGCTTCTCCTGGCAAGAGGAACATTTCACACCAAATCGTTAGGAGTTCATTAGCTCAGTGCCCACACTTCACCTGGGGGGCCCAGCCTCACCTGGGTGTCACTCCCTTCTCTACCAAGGGTCCCATTTCCTCCTGAGTCCAGCATGATGGCTTCTTTGTTTTTTAAAAAAATATTTTTTTTAATTGATTTCAGAGAGGAAGGGAGAGGGAGAGAGAGATAGAAACATCAATGATGAGAGAGAATCATTGAGCAGCTGCCTCCTGCACACCTCCCACTGGGGATGAAGCCTACAACCCGGGCATGTGCCCTGACTGGGAATCGAACCATGATCTCCTGGTTCATAGGTTGACACTCAACCACTGAGCCACACTGTCCTGGCATGATGGCTTCTCTTATAGAGAATCATTGAGGGTTTTTTAGCAGGAGAGTGATACGATTAAGCATGTTTTAGAAGACTATTCTTTGGGTATAGTTACTAAATTCACCAAAATTTCTCAACTGCACTCCGGGTGCCTGGTGCATGCTCCAGGCGTGGGAGGCCCGCGGAAGAACAGAATCTGTGGAGCGGAGTCCCTGACCACATAAGGAAGTTCGCATCTCTCCACAGGCTAATGGTTACTAGTAACAGGAATCTTCCGTGACTGGAAAAAGGAAATATATCGGCTTATGTCACCCAAAGGCTAGACCCAGGGATTCATGCAGCAGCATTGAGACTGTCTCTGTGAAGTGCCACCGCTGTGCTGATGTCATACGTAGACAGGCTTTCACCCCCTCAATGGGGGGAGCCCCTTTTCTTCCTCTCGAAGCACTCTTTGGTCCTGTTTGTGTCACAAGCTCAATCCTGAACCATTCGCTGTTTCCAGGAGCGTCAGGCACCTGGCTGGGAAGACCCGGCCTGGGTCCCTCCGGCGGGGCAGGGAGGCCTGCGCTGAACGACAGTGCTACCAGGTTTGGGTGGGGTTAGAGGGAGTTCTTAAAAACAGAAGCTCCTGCAGACATAAAAAACAAGAAACACCCACGTGAATCACACGAAGATGGCCCTGGTTAGGTGTGGACGCTCCAGGGGAAGTGATAAGAGAACCCCGAGGAAGAGCTGGTGGGTGGAGAGGGGGAGATAAGAGCCCGAACCTCCGAGGTGTAACTCTCCATCATTCCCTTGTTTCTGCTCCACCTTTTCATTAAGTTTATTTTTCCTTAATTAAAAATTCTACTTTGATGGGAGCACTTTTGGAGCCAATTACTCCTCGCAGCCCCTGGACGAGAGTTGGCCAAGGTAAGCAAACCCTATTTTAAAGATAAGATGGGCATGTGTTCATTTTGGAAACTTTCGTTTTAGTTTATCTACCTTGAGTGCTGTTCTAGAAATTTCTAATATAAAACAGAATCTTGTTTGCTCTTATAAAACTTAAGTATTTTCATGTATAATCATAGGCTGATATGAAAGTCTGAAATGACAAGTTATTTAAATACAGCTAGATCTTCACTTTTAAAACAAAATAGAAACACATTTGGAATACATTTGCCAGTAGAATACTCTAACTTATTATTCTTATACTAGAGGCCCGGTGCATGAAATTCGTGCACAGGTAGGATCCCTAGGCCTGGCTGGCAATCAGGGCCAATCAGGTTTCCCCCTCCGCGCCTCCCCGCCTCCCCGCCTCCCCCTTCCCTCACTCCTTCAGCACCCCGCTGCCACCACTGGTCGTCATAGTGAGCAATAGAACTCCCGGTTGAACTCCTGAGGGGACACTTGCATATTAGCCTTTTATATATATAGATAGAAGGTTCGAGAAATGGACAAGTAAATGCCTGTCCTCAGGGTGCTTAGGAAGCTACATAGGGAACATCAGCTTCAGCAAGCTTCCAAGTGGGAATTTGCACAGTGGATTTGATTTAGGGGCTCTTGCAATATTTTGGTATGCAGAGGGTATATACCAAAAAAGAAGGAAGAGTACTCTTTAGTATAGAGAGTAACAGAACATGAAATTAACTGGAAAAACTGCTACATTCCCCAGTTTGGGGAGTGCAGGAGGCAGCTGTTCAATGATTCTCTCTCGTCATTGATGTTTCTATTTCTCTCTCTTCCTTCCTCTCTGAAATCAATAAAAATACATATTTTAAAAAAACACAAAAAACCCCTGCTACATCCACTGTATGTATGGTATCATTTTCAGATCATGTCAGATTCAGGAGGCATTTGAAATATACATGCTGAAAACATTTGGTTCTCTGGGCTGAGGTCTCTCCGTCCATTCTCTGGCGCATACTAACCAGCACTTACTGTATGGATCATGTAGGCCGTACCTGGGAAAGGTCTGTGTGAAGGTGGGCAACAGCTGAGCCCACCCAGGAAGGTTTTCAGCTACCCTCAAGAATCTTAGGCCCAAATACAATATTTTAAAATCATGAAAAGATAAACTCCAAACTGATATTTTAAAATGTACATCCAAGGAAAAAATGTCTTATGCTTTCCAAGCACTAGGAGAAGACGAATATTTTCATAAACTGAGTAACTGTAACCGTTTTATTTCTCTCTATGGCCGTCTGTATGGAATGCACAGTTTTTGCATGCAGGCTTGCACAGCACCCCCTACACACACACGGGGTGTGTGATGAGGGGTGAGTTTTTACACAGCTGGAGGAAGATCTCATGTCCCCTAGAGAGGAATTGATCATAGATTTGAACTATTTCAAAAGGTATTCATGCCTGGCCGGCGTGGCTCAGTGAGCACCAGCCTATGAACCAGGAGATCACAGTTCGATTCCTGGTCAGGGCACATGCCCGGGTTGTGGACTCGAATCCCTAGTAGGAGGTGTGACGGAAGCTCCAATCCATGATTCTCTCTCATCATTGATGTTTCTATCTTTCTATCCCTCTCCCTTCCTCTGTTAAAACAATAAAAATATATCTTTAAAAAAGGTTTTCAAAGGTGTTTGTTTGCTCCATACCTTTTTAAACTCTATGCCCAGCTAGCTAATCCCATTCTCACGGATTGGGGGCAGTTTGATCATAGAAATCAGAAATCCTAGGAGCCAGAGAGATCATCCAGTCTGACCTCATTTTCATCGTGATGAGCAGCACGGGCATTTTGCAGGGACTTCCTCAGGTTGCACAGCCAGGCGAGTGGAAAGGTCGGTTCTCAGGCCCCGGTCTGAGTCTCTGCTTTGCTTCTTGTGGATTGAACTCCTTTTCTTTTTATCTTATTCTGGTTTCTAAAGGCAGCAGCGTCCTTGGAAGGAAGAAAAGCATCCTGAGTTCAGGCTGACAGCTGCACTTAACAGGTACATGCATCGCTTCCTCGTAGAAATAACTTGGGAAGAAACCAATCCATTTGATTGCCCTGATGCTCTTTATATAGTGCCTAGTAGCCAGTCTGTTCATACTCGTGTTTATATGAAGTGTTAAGAAAACAAACCTCAAACCCCTCACCATTTATTGAATGTCCACTGAGGACAGACTAATACAGTTTAAGAACATGAGGTCTGGGGTGAGACTACAGCAAGCATGTCAAACTCAAAGGCTAACACAGACCAAACAAACAAGGCATGCGGCCCGCGGGCTGCGAGCTTGACATGCTTGGACTACAGGGTTTGCCTCTTTCTGTGTGACCTTGAACAAGTTATTTAACTCTGTGCTCAGTTTTCTCATTTGGAAAAGGGAGATAATAGTACCTACATTAAGGGATGGTTATGAAGATTAAGTAAGATAATACACGGGAGGAGTATGTATTCAGTTAGGACCCTTTGGGCCAGGCTCCAGTGGTCACTGTTCTGTGTAAGTCTTTAGTCAATCCTGATAACGTCCTATAAGAAGGAGGTTTTGTGTGTGTTTTTTTTTCTGTTCTAAGAGATTAATGACTTGTCCAAGGCCACTTAGCTAATATGTGATGAAACTGGGATTTAAAAAAACGCAAAATTTTTTATAGTGCAAACTTTTAAACATACACAAAAGGGAAAAGAGTTATAAGAAGTCCCTCGTGCTCATCTTTCAGCTTCAGACCTTAGCATTCTGCCGTTTCTTCTCTGACCCCCATCCCCATTCCACAGCTGGCTAGATATAATCTTTTACTATAAATATATCTAACAGTATAAGGCTGGTAAGAACCTTTTAAACCAAACAAAACGTAACCGCAGTTTCATTATTTCACTTAACAAATGAACAATAACTCATTAATATCATCTAATACCAACCTGTATTCAAATTTTCCCAGGGGCCCCCCTCTAGCTGCTAGAGGGTATGCTGCCCGGTTCATGAATCACTTAATAAAGCCAATTAGATCTTCAAAAGAGACAAACACAAAATTTCCCGTTGTCTCTGCATCTGATATTCTCTGTTGAGTCTCTGTGACTCTAAAGGAGCCGGATCTGAACCCAGGGCCCTCTGGCCCCAGAGTCCATGCTCTTCCTGTTACAACACGCAAGCTCTGAACTGCCTCTCCCTGGTCTGGACACACGGCCACGTGCAGTGAGGCCACAGAGGCCATCACCTGGAACAGGCCACAGAGAAGCATTTTAGGCTGATTTGAGGTCCACAAGTTCTTTTTATGGCAGACAGCATGGCCCTGCAGGAGACAACAGTCATCTCTTAGCATCGAGGCTGTGTAGAAGTTGGAGCTGTCTGCGGAATTCCAGAAATACGCTCAATGATGGCAAACCTTTTGAGCTCGGTGTGTCAGCATTTTGAAAAACCCTAACTTAACTCTGGTGCCATGTCACATATAGAAATTTTTTGATCTTTGCAACCATAGTAAAACAAAGATTTATATTTTTGATATTTATTTTATATATTTCAATGCCATTTAACAAAGAAAAATCAACCAAAAAAATGAGTTCGCGTGTCACCTCTGACACGTGTGTCAGAGGTTCGCCATCACTGCCTAGGTCAGCGGTTCCTGAGTTTTTTGTCCTTTACCACCTTAGAAGCCACGGAGTGTCTGTTTGTGTCGGTGTATCTATTGGGATTTGTCTATTGATACTATAAATTAAAATGAGAGATTTTTAAATGTTACTTAGTCATGAATTTGAAAATAGCAAAATAAAAATAATAAACCCACGCATGTTAACACAAATACTTCTTTAAGAAACAAAAGGACATTTTCCAAAACAAAAAAGTGTATTGAGAAGAGTGGCATTGTTATCCCTTTGACGAATCTCTGACAGTAGCTGGGTTCTCTGCTGATGCGTTCAGTCTGCGGTGACTTCACATGTCACGCGGCTTCTGTCACCCTCCACTGTGCTCACCAGAACGAGCGAAGGGGCAAAGATCATTTTAGTATGAACTGCAAGTCCCTCGACTTGCACTGTCCCTGAAAGGGTCTGAGAACCGCTACCGTAGGTGAGCCTTCAGACAGGAGTTCCTTAGTGGAGGAAGGATGGGCAGGTCTTCGGTAAAGCCCTGCACCCCAGGCCTTGTTGAAGTAGATCATTAAGCTGTGCCAGCAGCTTCAAGGTGTAAAGCTCTGCGAGCACAGGTGACAGTCATGTGGGGTGTGGGTGACCTTCAGCGGCTGTTATTGATGTAAGGGACTTCAGGTAGGTCCAGACCCCTCATTGCATGGATCATCGTAAATAATCATCCTGACTTCTCTCCCGTTGGTAATGTTCAGCAAAGACTATTGCATTGTCACGAAGGAAAAACGGATTTTCAGCCAGACTCTCTCCTCCCCCCTCAGGACCAATTCTGATTCTGCTCTTCACACGAGTGCTCTAAGCACCAAGCCCCAGGACCCCTATGGAGGAGGGGGCCAGTCGGCCTGGCCGGCCGCATACATGGGTAAGACACACGGCCCTGCCCGCAGCGGCTCTGCTTCTGCCTGTCCTGTGGCATCTTGCCTGGCGCGTGCCCTCCCCGCCCGTGGTCTCCAGAGAAGGAGCCACGGGGAAGGTGTGTGCGCTCTGTGGATGAGTGGCGCTTACAGGTCACATGCTTGGTTGCTGCCTCTCTCACGGCAGCTTCTCCCCCTCGGCACCTCTGGGCCCTCCGTTTCCTGTCTTCCCCTCCACACTCATCATTCTCATGTGGACTCATCGTAACTTCCTAACCGGTCTCCTCACTTCCAGGCCTATATACTCTCATCCAGTTTTACGTGATTTATCTGAAGGTCCTCTTCTCTCACCTAGGATCTGAGCAAACTGAGAAATAAAACCAGAAGTGACAGGTGAAGCTAAATGTCTTTATTAGTGACAAGAGGACACGGATTCTCTCTGTGGGTCCATGCCCATTACGACTGAACCCCAGAATGAGGCCCACTGCCCCGCAGTGCTGGCCCAGCCGAGTGCCACGAGAGGGTGGGGTCAGAGTGAAGGGCAGGCCGAGCAGAGAAGGCCCCGAGGAGGAGAGGGGCTGGCCTGGGCGTCGCCTGCTCAGTTGTTCCCCATTTTGCCAGGTAGACCATTGTCCTGCCTCCCTTGGCCAGAGTGAGTGAAGTGGAGGAGAGAGCCGGAGTGACAGGAGTGGGGAAAGCCTTCTCATGCCATCTGCTTCCAGAGCGAACTCACATCTGATCAAAGTCTCCTGCGTACAGTCCTCCGTGCCCCCCCCTCCAGGAGAGTCCCAGTCTCAGTCTGGAATGACGGGAGCTCCAGGACCTGCCCCCGCCCCCCGCCTCCCCGTTCTCACTCCCCAAGTCAGCCGTGAGGACCATGTTGGGTTCTGCTAATGTTTCATTCTGTTCTCATCTCTTCCTCCCATAACTCACTCCTGACCTACCTGATCAACACCCTCCGCTTTGTCATCATTTCTGTGGGGCCAGCCTTGGCCTTCCTCTCCGCCAGAACTATCCATGTCCTAACATCCCAAAGCTCCGGCGTGCAGGTGGCTCTCTCAGCACCTGTGTCACTCCTGTGCTCAGAGTCGATTTCTTGAAGTCAGCGTCTTGATGGTCTTACCTCCAGCACTGTGCCTGGCCGGAGGAGCCCTCGGTGCTGGGAAGTGCGGGGAAACCACACAGTGGCTACCTGTGCAGAGCACTCGCTAGCATCAGCCTGCACATGCCACAGTCTGGCTCGCTGAGACACAGGCCAGCCTGCCTCTCTGGGGTTATAATCTGGTAGGAACAATGGCTCCGCTTATCCATTCCATATGCCACTCAGCACTCCAGGTCGACTCCTGTCCACAAACAGGAAGGACTACGTGTTTGGTCTTGAAACAGGCAAATAAATCTTTAGTCAAGCTTTTCTGGGTTCTTTTTAGACAATTTAAAGCCTAAATGGTCTGTTCCTTCCGAGGAGAGCATGGCTGGCCTATTTCCTTGCACATAGTAGGATAGGCCTTAGTAATAATTGTTCCCTGGTGCAATCAGAGGTGACTAAACCGTTGTTGCTTGTAAAGTGTAGGATCTTTTAGAATCGGTGGAGGCCATCCGGCCGAGTTTCCACACACACACACACACACACACACACACACACACACGGACAGGAGAGTAAAGCTGGCGGTTATGTCAGACTCGGGTGTGGGTTAGAGCAGTAGTCGGTAAACCGCGGCTCGCTAGCCACATGCGGCTCTTTGGCCCCTTGAGTGTGGCTCTTCCACAAAATACCACGTGCGGGCGCGCACGTACAGTGCGAAGTTGACTTAAAACTTTAAGGAAAGTTTATTAAGTTAATTTTAGGGAACGTTGTGGAGGGAAAGAAGATGTAGAGTCGAGGATGGAGAAAGGTATGTTGAGAGGGTTTGGACATATAGAGAGGAGGAACGAAAGGAGATAGATGAAACAAGTATACAAAACGAGTGTGGATGGGAGAGTTGGAAGGGGTCGACCTCAGCGAACGTACCTCAATCAGATTGGGGACGTTTTTAGCAAAGGCCAGCTTAGGAGTTACCCTAATTAAGTTAATAACAATGTACCTACCTATATAGTTTCAGTTTAAAAAATCTGGCTCTCAAAAGAAATTTCAGTCATTGTACTGTTGATATTTGGCTCTGCTGACTAATGAGTTTGCCGACCACTGGGTTAGAGAAGCGGGTACCTGAGTGGCGGTTGTGTCGGACTCGGGTGTGGGTTAGAGAAGCAGGTCCCTGGGGAGGCGGGGAGGTTAGCTCAGGATGGGTAGAGATGGGAAGATATAAACAAAGCCCGGCAGAAGCAGAGCCGGTGATCAGTGGGGGCCCTGTGACTGCGGCAGGATCTTAGTCCCCCAGGACTGGGAGGGAGCCAGACCAATGGGTTTTTACCTGGGACCCTGAACGCAGAGCTGATTTCTGCCTCTGCCATTCCTTCTGGCAGAGTTTACTCCAGAAAGGGCTAAGGCCTAGAGAGAACAAGGAAATCATAGGTAATTTAAGTAGGACCTTGTGAGGCTGCATGCAAAGAGAAAAGAAAATAACTAAAGAAAGTGATCGATTGAGCGAAGTGTTTATGCTAAGAGTGATGCGGCTTCAGCGGGAAGAGGTAAGAAGTGTCAGGCAGTGAGAGGATGGATGAGAAGGCAAAAGAGTGTAAGTGTTGATCCCGGCAGACAGGAAGAGCAGAGAAAGACATCCCAGAGCAGGCTTTCGGGGGTGACTTGAGAATCAGGGGGCGCTCCTTGTCACCTCAGCAGTTAAACATTGTTGGGCCACGTATCTGACAGCCCAGAGAGCGGGCTGCCCTCCAGCTTGAACCGCGTGGCTGCTTCTGCAAGTATCGCAGAACTCAGAAACACATCCAAATATGGACGTGTTTACATGGGAAAGCCAGTGTGTTTAAAATATTAGTCAAGTCTCCAAGGATGGGAATTATTTCTGGAGAATTCTATTTGCTGGTGGGAGCTATTTTAAATCGTTTCATGCATTTTCCCCCTGTAATTCATTAAAGTTTTTCATTTTCTTTTCCTCTTGGATTTTAAAAATATCGACTAGCTTTGCAAAAAGGTATTTCTTATTATAGGACCAACCAAATAAAGATTAAGCAAGTGATGGGAAAATGTAATTGGAGCCCAGAATCGGGCTTCGTAGCAGAAGCAACAGTAACAGCTCTGCCCCGGGGACCTTTCCTGAGCATAATGATGTAGCTCCGATCAGTGTTCCCACTCGTTGTTGTTGTGAGTGGACGAAAAAGGAGCATCTGCTTAACTCCATGAGCAATAAACTTGGATGCATTAACGAGCGGTTTGTGTCCCAAGAAAACAAAGCCATTGTTCTGATACGTGTGTAGTGATTTTCATGATGGTGATTGAGTGTCATGACAGTTAGACGTAAGTGATTAGCAGTTGATATAAATGGCAGCAATAGACTTTCATACAATCAAACAAGATTTTTATATTCTCTCGTTTAATTAGCCAGAATCTCTAAAAGGAAATGTTGACCCTTTCCCTGGCAGCCTGTGCCGTTCAGTTATCATTTCACACGCGTACACACGGAGTTCAGTTATTTCACACGTGTGCACGGGGACAGTTACGGGCTCTCTGACATGCCCTGTCCCAGAGCCTAGGACGGTCCCCTCACTCTGCTGGGCTCACGGCCGGCCTGGGAAGGAGGCAGGGTGGCCCGCGTCCTTTCAGTGAGTCCTAGAGCCGAGGCTGATGTGCATAGGGTGCTTGTCTTCTGCACCCAGAGCTCTAGAAGCTGAGCACGGCCAACTCGGGGGCTGCAGCCCTGAGCTCCTCCTCTGGGTCCGGTAGAGGCCCAGATGTCAGTGGCCTTCAACAGGCAATGCGCTTTGACCTGCATAGTTAAGGAAAAGTTTTAAATGCAAATAACCCTGAAGGAAGTGAGCCTGTGCCTGACGGGAGGGAGAGGGCAAGCATCCCAGGTCATAGAGGGGGCAAAAAGCGTCCCCTTGAGGGCAGGAGGGCCCAGAATGAGGAGGCTGATGCCCCAGGGGCTTCTTAAAGGACCCCCTCTGGTTAGAGCATCCACCTCTCACTGCTCCTCTACTCGGTGAATCAAGACTGTGCTGGGAGTCAGGCTTGAGCCGGGAGAGGGGACATGGGCTCGGTTACACTGAGGAGGTCACTACGTGGCTCTGACCCAGGATGTTTCCTGGGTCACAGATGCAGCCTCGGTCCCTGATGTGCCATCCCCGCTGGGCCGATGCGCGTGAGTGTCCTCTCTGTGCAGACATCCCATCGCAACCTGTTCCTTTTTCTTGGTAGCCCTTTGTTTATGGTTGTGTCCTATGATATTTTTCATTCAGCAGTAGAAATCCTGGCTTGCTGCTGCCACCTCCATCTTTCTGGTCACCTACACTCAAAACCTGGTGGTGTCTTTAATATCCTCAGCCCACCCCTGTCACCCTTCAACAGCCAAGTCACGCTCAGTCTACCCCTGTGGTGCCTCCACCTGCCCTCTCCTTTCTGTCCCCACTTCCTGCCTTCGGCCTGGACCGTTCTGTTTGGTTTCCACCTGGTCTCCCTGCCTTTCAGTCCTTCTCACACTGAGCTGTCAGAACCAGCTCCCAAAAGCGTAGCTGAATCGCGTCACTGCTCTAGCGGAGACCCAGTATGTCCTGCCTTATGCCGGCTTACTCCTCTCTCAGCGAAGCCTCATCTCCCCTCCTCCGCCTGTCTTCACAGGGCTTATCCCTTCCCACCTTACTCCCATGTCTAACCCCTCAGGCACAGCACGGTGGACATTCTGAAGGCACACAGGCCAGAGTCCTAGCCCCGAACTTACTTAGCAGAGCGACCTGGAGGGTTAGCACCTGCCTCGTAGAGTTGCTGTGAGGATGGCATGAGGTCATCTGTGTAAAGGCCCAGCACATAGCCGACAGTACTGTTAGCAGCTGTTATTATCATCCTCGTTGTTACCCTCAGTGTCTAACTCAGGTGCCACCTCCTCCGTGAAGCCTTCCTGGGTTCCAGTCGGATGGAGAGGCGGTGACACTGATGGCCGGTCGCGTGGAATGTCTGCTCCCCACTCGGCCGTTTCACGAGGTTGAGTCCTCGTGTTGCAGGGACAGGTCAGCCTGTTCATTAGACCCCGAGTGATGGGTTTCTTGATGAGAAAGAAGCAATGCTGGACTGCTGTACAACACGAGGCTTTTTATTTGTGATCGGGCCATCACTTTGTCATGATCAGAATGGTCATGTTCCCTGCCCTTGGCAATACGAGGGCCCCAAAATGAGTCAGAAGCTCCTCTCTCCTCCTTGTAACAGTGCCGACTGCAGAGCCAGGCCCTTTGCCTCTGCACCTCATTTCCGAACATTCTTTGTTCACATCTCCTTTCTTCAGCTGCGTTAACACACAAAGAAGCGATAGTCTAGCTCAAGTCTCTCATCGGCCAGGACCGTCTGAGGAGGGTCCTCTGGGGTGATTTTAAAATGTAGATTCCTGGGCCCATTCTTACATCTTCTGAGGCAAAAAGCTTTGAGGGTTGAGCTCATAAATCTGCATTTTAAAAAGCTTACCCAAGTGGTCTTTATGTGCATTAACATAAAGTTTTAAATCTCTGACTTAGATTCTGTTTCCATCAGCCTGAAAAAAATGCTGTCTTTATGAAAGTGCTCCATTTATCGACCTCTTCCTGCTCCTGGGGACTCATGGTGCTGGCCAGGCACCCAGCCTCCACTAAAATTGGGTATCTTCTCACTGTACTGAGAATTTGTATCCTTGTTCTGTCTTCACCCCTGCACTCTGTCACCTGCCACATCTAGCATTTAGTAGGAACTTAATATATGTTGAGTGAATGATTGTTAGATATTTAGTTTACGTTTTTATAGACTAATCTGGTTAACTTACAGATTAAGTTTACCCAAAAACATATTGAAACTTTAAGTAAGTCAGCCTATATTTAAAGGCTTGGAACTTTGAAATTTCTCCTGATTTTATATTGAAAACTCACTTGGTATAATTGATGTCTCTAAAGAGAATGATAATCTTACCTTCTTGGCACAAGTTTTTGGTTTTAGCTCAGAGCAATTAGATATACTATACTTGTCATTAACAGTGTATTTTATGGGTTAAAAATACTTTATTCAGCCCAGCCGGTGTGGCTCACTGGTTGAGCATTGACCCATGCACCAAGAGGTCGCCGATTCAGTTCCCGGTCAGGGCACGTGCCTGGGTTGGGGGCTCGATCACCAGTGGTGGGCATGCAGGAGGCAGGCAATCGACATTCTCTCATTGATCTTTCTATGTTTCTCTCCCTCTCCCTTTCACTCTTTTTTTAAAAAACAAACAAACATATTTCTTTACAAAGAAAAGAACCAAAATGTTATAACAAATACTTTATTCGGTTAGAATGTATTTAAAGTCAAATTTTTAAATTTCTGTGAATAGCTATCACATCCCCTATTTAAGTTGACTGAGACTTCAGATAAATTATTTTTTTAAATAACTTGACTCTTTGCAAGAAATATATGTATAACTACATACAGCATGGAACTTCCCATTTGTTCCGCTGGGCCCGTGTGGTGAGTGTGAAGCAATTACCTGCCCTTCCTAGTGGGCGATGCATTTGGAAGAGATTTCGGTCCAAATTTCTTTATTTTGTAAGCTGAATAGAGGTTCTCAGATTTTGAAAATTGTTCCCTCAGGACAGTTTAAGAGTAAGATAATTTTAAAGGAGAAGCAAAGTAGATAGGAACCAACTTTAGGCTTAAATTAACCGTATCTGTCTTAATTTTAGCATAAAGGCCAATGTATCTTAGCTGGACCTCAATCAATGTACCAAAATGGATAGAATTTTAAAAATTCAATTTCAAATCAGAAAGAGTGACAAATTCATGAATAAAGGAAAAGGAAAGCGCCACGTAAAAGTATTTGTTTTCTTTCCCCCCTAGGTTTCTGTGATGGTGAGAACAATGGACATGGGGAAGGTACGGATTGGTCTTGCCACTGGGCTGGGCGGGATGCTGACGGTAGTTACATGACCTCCTTTCAACATGTGAACTAGTTGATGCTCATGTTTCAGAACTTCCCAAAGTGCTGACAACTACCAATGAGTTTAGTTGTCTGAGATGCTCTATTAAATTAGGGCTACCCGTGACCAAGGCCACGAGAAAGGAAGTGTATGGTGAGATTGTGTCATCTGATTCCCCATAATCCCAGTCACAGGGGTGTGCAGGGAAGCAGAGGTTGTCATCACATGAACATATTAATGACTTGGTCGCCCTGGCCAGTGTGGCTCAGTTGGTTGGGCATCTCCCCCTGTACCTAGAGGTTGCCGGTTCTATTCCGGATCAGGGCACATGCCCGTGTTGCGGGCTGGATTCCCAGTAGGGGGTGTGCAGGAGGCAGCTAATGATGTTTCATTCTCACATTGATGTTTCTCTCTCCCACTCCCTCTCTCTCTAAAAATCAATAAGAAATCTTTAAGGAAAAAGAAAATATTAATGAATTGGTCACTTACACCATTAGTTATTCCAGTATTCCTCCCTCCTCAGCTGCCTGTCTCTGCCCATTTAGAAAGTTTTGAGACTCTGTGATTGACACATGTAAATAAGCAGTGCGAGGAAAATGCAAATTGATTGCAAAATGAGATTGCAGGAGATACTGAGATTTATAAAACTGATCACAGTGATATTGGAGATTTACTGAATGTCGCTCAAAGCCAGTGATAAGTGAGGATCTGACACAATTCGTTTATTCATTCAGTGCCAGACGCTTTTTTCTTTTCCCTAAACCTTCATCATCTGAAATTTAATTTTCACAATCTAAAAGTGAACAACTAAATTAGGTCTACAATAAATTGCAGAGATAAGGACTCATGGGAGTATGCTATATGAGGTGCATCTCGCACCAGAGGCACAATTCTCCACCATCATCCTATTGAGTCCTTTTCCGGGCAAGCCATTTTAGGCCATGAGTAACATCATGAAAAGTTGAAACATCAGTAAACATCCACTAGGACAAATAAATAATTGGCTTCAAGCTTCTTTTCATCCCCGCAGTGGATCCTTTGAGGAATTCTCAATAAATCTTGGAAATGAAGACCAAATCAGTGAACTTCTCTAAGGAAGCAGTCCCCTTTAAGGCCTTCGCGTCTCCCCAGCCATATTCCTGTGACCAACCTCTTATGAGCAGTAACCTTGAGGCATGAAGCCGCCTCACTCAGCCCTTGAAACTTTTCCTGTCATCCATCAGTGCCGCAGAGAGCAATTGTTTATTCTCGAGTGTCTCCTTGTATTGCTTTATAAAGGCTCTCAAACCTATTATTCCTGCCGCCCAGTTTGCGAGTCAGCTGCAGAGCCGGGGGTGAGCTGGCACTGTTTCCAGCACTCCCTGTGCCGAAACGTCGCTGAATAGAATCAAGGCCCTGCCCTTGTGGACTTCACGTTTCCGAAGCCGTCCCTATTAAGGGTCAGACTAGGTAGCATTTGAAGAAAAGAAAATCCAGCAAGGATGTGGACAAAATGAGTTCTTCAGAAGAGAGTGGCTTGAGTATCCTGATTAAGAGAGAGACCTGGGACCGCTGATAAGCCTGGATATCTGAGTAGGAACGGCGCTGTCCTGATGGTGTGAGGTTGACTGTAAAGGCACCGAATGGGGCTCTGTTACTGCGCCCCCACCCTCCTTAACTCATTCTGAGAGGCCACCAGTGCAATCAGATCCTGAGTGTTAGTAAAAATAAGATAAACTTATTGTAGAATTTTTCTTTCATTTTTCAAATCTTTTTCTCAGAATTGACTCTGAAATTTTGGTCCCTATTTTTTTTTTTTAAATATATGTATTTCAGAGAGGAAGGGAGAGGGAGAGAGAGAGAGAAACATCCATGACGAGAGAGAATCATTGATCGGCTGCCTCCTGCACGCCCCCTGTTGGGGATCCAGCCCACAACCCAGACATGTGCCCTGACCAGGAATCGAACCGTGACCTCCTGGTTCATAGATCAATGCTCAACCACTGAGCCACGCCGACTGGGCTGGTCCCTGTTTTAAGTGACTTCTTTTTGGGGTTTGTTACCCATGGGTCTCCTGTGTGGGGCTAAAACAGACAGTCATGACATGACAGTCAAAGTGGAGCGCACGTGGTCACCAAACCCTAACTGCATGTGCAGTTCGAGCAGTCACCAGTGTCTCTAATGTTGAACCCCCTGCCTGGCATCAGGTCCCCTAATTCCTGAGGGCTGGCCCTCCCCTTGTCTTGCGGTCTCTCTCTGAGAACAACAATGAATATTTGTGAACTAAATCATTTTTTTCTCTCGAAGATCATTTCTTCGGCCAGTGTTGGGATGGCTGCCATCTAATGCAATGACTATGCTTCCCCCCACTTTAGTGATGTGTTTCCCTGGTTCATTGAAAGAAGAGAATCTGCTAAACGTTCCCACGCCACTGCCAAAGCAGCTGTGGGAGACCAAGGAGGTGGGTGAGCAGTCCTCACTGTGCTTGTTGTCACTGAATGTTTGCCCTTCAGCGGTCCCTGTGCATCCTGCGGCGGGGAAACGAGGAAATGGGGAAAAGGAAGGTAATTTCTTTGGGCACAGAGCTAGGAAGAACACACTAGGGGATGATGGTTCAAGTAAGAATGATCACATTTTGTTGGTAAGTTAGTACACTGATCTCTTGGCTTCCTAATTTGCATGTGAATGGACTCATTAAAAAAAAACAACACCAAACTATTAGTCCCCCCCATATATCATTCCTATTGCTAAACGCACTGAAACCTGGTTACAAGCCATAGGCAGACTTTGCTGTTTTGTGGCCAACACCCTCTACCAGTGACCCGCTTCTGTCCACAGCTGCTGCTTCACCAGATATCCCTTTTTTAAGTCAAGGGCATTTGACCTGAGTCCTCAGGGAGTCGGTAAACAAGTCATCTGTTTTAGGATTTCCATGAGTATTTGTGTCCGCTTGTGCTAGCTGCCCCCCACCGTGCTCCCGCTGTGGAGGGGGGAGGTCCCACGGTGCTGGGCTGGGCCCTTCTTCCCCTCGGGAAGCTGTGCTGCCTTTGAAAGAAAGCCGTTCACCCCCAGCCCTTAGTGATGCAGTTGCTCCTCGGTACTCGACTGCCCGCCTGCCTAGGCTGCCTCTGTCCAAGAAGGTCCTCGTCAGCATTGGCGTGGGCTTGACAGGTCTTTTGTAAAAGCGAGATGCATTGATGTTTCATCACTGGGGGGGAGGGAGAGAGATGATTTAAAGCTCATCTCCTTGCCCTGGCCGGTTTGGCTCAGTGGATAGAACATCTGCCTGCGGACCAAAGGGTCTTGGGTTCAATTGCAGTCAAGGGCATGTACCTTGGTCGCAGGCTCCTCCCCAGCCCGGGCCTTGGTCGGGGCTCGTGCAGGAGGCAACCAATCGATGTGTTTCTCTCACATCGGTATTTCTCTCTGTCTTTCCCTCTCTCTTCTACTCGCCCTAAAAATCAAAGGAAATATATCCTTGGGTGAGGATGAACAAAAATAAATAAATAAAATAAAATCCATCCCCTTAAGCAGAGGATAAGCAGTCGCACGTTGTCTTTTTGGCTGTGGAGACACAAGTTGTTTTGGAGGCTTTACCCCGAGGACAGTTACGTCTCCTCCAACAGAGAAGGCAGGGCAGCCACTCCTTCCCGAGTGCCCAGCCTCTCCCTGGGAGGAGGCACTCCTCTCCCTAATTCTTAAGGATTTGTTGTCCTCCGTCAATCATTTCTGGGAGAAGACTTGCGTCAATGGGTTCATTCATGGTTTTCACCATACAGTACATTGATTGAGCACCTTTTGCCAGACATTCTGGGTCCAGGGATTCTGCGGTAAACAAACACCAAAAACTCCCTTCCCCCAATTTATTTTCTAGTTGAAATATTTTCTTATGACAGTAATTTATTCTTTCTTCACCCTGTTTTATTTTTTATATTCTTTTCCTTTCAGGCCTATGGAAAAAGAATGTCTATTTAAAAGCTCTATATGGCCCTGGCCAATTTGGCTCAGTGGATAGAGTGTTGGCCTGTGGACCAAAGAGTCCTGGGTTCAGTTCCGGTCAAGGGCACATACCTCGGGCCTTGATCGAGGCACGTGCACGAGGCAACCAATCGATGTGTTTCTCTCATCGATGTTTCTCTCTGTCTTTCTCTCTCTCTTCTACTCTCCCTAAAAATCAATGGAAAAATACCCTCTGGTGAGGATGAACAAACCAGAAAATAATAATAAGCTCTGTATATAAAACATTGGCCTTTCTGAAGGAAATACTATTCATCTAGAAGAGAAGTTAATAAAGCATCAAATTAAGAAAATGTTAATGTTCTGCCTCCCTTGTGCCTGGAGAAGTCTAGTTAGAACTTAAAGGGCCGCTGTGTGAGGTGCTGCTAACTGCCTCTCGCTTGCACTGACTGGAGCCCCAAGATACTTACAAAGACACTTCTAAGAGCTTGATTTTGGCTTTTCAGTGAGTAAGCCCAGCTTCTGTCTCTCCCCAGATTCAGTCGCTGTCAGGGCGCCCTCGATCCTGTGATGTTGCAGGTGGCAGGTAAGTAATGCTCTTTCTGTTCATGGCTCGGGGACTGTCCCAAGGTTTTCCCGAAAGGAAAGTCTTGCTACTTTGGCACAGAACTCTGCAAAACTTCCCTCGTTATGTGTACATTGAAAGTCAACGGGATTTTCATGAAAACAACAGCTCTCATTGGTACTCACTATTTCAGTTATTTAAAGTAATTATATTACATAACTGCAGTAATAAATAAAACTGCCATACATATGTTTGTGAATAACACGACTGACTCTTGGTAAACACACGACTTGAAGCAGAAGCGCGTAGGCGTGGCGAACCCACCAGCCGCACGCGGTGGGCACCTGGCACCCTTTTTGACTGTTCAGCGCGTCATAACTCGCCTCTCCGTCTCCAGGCTCTGCCTCTTGCACCCCGGCCTCCACGCCCCCGAGTCTTAGCCACACTGTCCTCAGAATGACTGCGCATGTCTCTCCCTGCTTCCTGCCTTCCACAGGCTTCTTGCCGTCCGCGCGTAGCTTTCGCCTCATATGCTCTCTGCCTGCTTCTATAGGGCCGTCTCCCGTCAGCACCCGCCCCTCTTAAACTTGACCTTCCTGTGGTGTCTGAGTTCCTGGGCACACTGTGTGGCTTCGCGCCTTTCTGCTTTGCCCACGCTGTGAACTTGCCTGGAATGGTTTTTCCTGCATAAATTCACCATGTGAATTCTTTGGCCTTCAAACTGAGCTCCGATGGCCCCAGGAAGCCCCCTCCAGCCTGCTGGTCGTTGTCCCCACGCCTTATGCTGCCAGGCTCTGTCACTGTGCTACTGGATGGTATGACATTGCAAGTTCTTTTCTATTTATTTACTCACCTATTCATTCATTTATTTTAAGCAAGTTATTTTCTTTTGGGCTCTATCTCCCTGCTTTGGCCAAGTCTCTTGGGGGCCCATTATCAGTATCTGGTACCGGGGACGTGCTCTACGGATCATGCTGTATTGAGTGGAGTGTCCTCAATTGAATTCCTTCCCTCCCGCCTCTTCCTGAAGCAGCCATAGCTTCCTACTGGGTCTCCCTGCTGTCTTTCTGCTCCCTTAAGCCATCCTCCACACTGTAATTGAAAAACTGTATCCTGGAAGGTACCTGGTTGATTCAGAGATACTGTGTGTGTGTGTGTGTGTGTGTGTGTGTGTGTGTGTGTGTGTGTGTATAGGAAAGAGAATTTAGAAACCTAGCAAACAGAACCGTGTAAATTGCACAGCAGTGCCTTTATATGGTGCTTTATAATTTCTAAAGTGCTTTTACGTCAATTATTTCATCCGGTCTTGGAAAATACTCCTATAAAGTGGGTATAGATGCATCCTCCGTCCAACCCAACAGGTAAGGAGTAGCCCTGCGGAGGGGGTGAGCCGAGGAGGCAAGTTCTCAGGACGAGGCGGAGGCAGAGCTTACACGAGGACTTGGATCTTTGACTGCTTTTATTTGATGAGGGAACGTATCAGACCTGTCCTAGTCCCCAAAGCCTAACGATTTTAGAAAGTAACACTTATCTTTCCCTTTTCAGCGCTTTTCCACACAACAGTCCAAACATGGGCCTCTCCCCCTTTCTGGGGACCCTGAACACCGGAGGGTCCCTGCCAGACTTAACCAACCTGCACTACTCGACGCCCCTGCCGGCCTCCCTGGACACCGGCAACCCCCTCTTTGGTGGCATGAGTATGGGGAACAGTGTGGGCAACCTTCCTGCTGCTATGACTCACCTGGGCATCAGAAGCTCTTCTGGTAAGTGTCCCCTGCTCTGTGGGACCCTGCCCGTGCCCACTGGTGGCTTCCTCACAGGTGGGGCCCAGCCAGGTGGCCTGGTAGTGGAGTGTGGAGTGACCACATCCTGTTCTTGTAGGTCCTGGCCCTGCTAACATGTTGCTCTGGTGGCCCAGTGTCTGCTGGGTACTGTACGCCTGGAACAGCTCTGCTAAGCCTCCTTCTTTATCGTCTTCAGCAGCCCCTGTATCCCGGGGACTTGGAGAATAAGACTTGAGAGTCAAGAAATGAGTGTCAGTTCTAGTCTGTGCCGGCCGAGCAGTGTTAGTGGCTCTTACCAAATATCACGTGATGATATGTAATCATTACAGCCATCTCTAGATCCCTCCAATTTCCCATTGGATTTCAAAAGAACGTTTTGAATTTTAGAAAATTTACAGTGAATACCATGACAATATTTATACTTAAATAGATGCATATATTTAATAGAAATCTACTACAGTTCCAAATAATTGGCTCAAATTTTCAGAAGGGCTAAAAGATGCGGCATGTGGCTGTATTAAAATGCTACCCGTAATGTGACTTGGGTGTTTCTATCTTCTATAATAATAAAAGCATAATATGCTAATTAGACCAGACGTCCTTCAGGACGACCTTCCGGATAAAGCTGGGGCTGCAAGGGAAGCCTGGGTCCCGGGTGCCAGAGGGAAGCCGGTGCCGGCAGCTGGGGGAAGGAAGGCCTACTCTTGCACGAATTTCGTGCATCGGGCCTCTGGTATGAATGTAAGTGTCCACAGCTCAGACCCATGGGACTACATTTGCTGGAGCCCTGACATGCGCTGTCAGTGTGTGGGCAGGTGTTACTACTCCCTCTCACACTCGGTGTGCGGTACGGCCCTGGCAGGAACGGTCCTAAGGATTGTGTGGACCTTTCGAAGGGTCCTTGGTGAGGGTCTGTCTGTGTAAGTGTCTACAGCTCAGACCCATGGGACTACATTTGCTTGAGCTCTGGCATGCGCTCTGTCAGTGTGTGGGCAGGTGTTACTACTCCCTCTCACACTCGGTGTGCGGTACGGCCCTGGCAGGAACGGTCCTAAGGATTGTGTGGACCTTTCGAAGGGTCCTTGGTGAGGGTCTGTCTGTGGGAAAGTGCTTGCTGGTTTCCACTCTGGGTTCAGCAGGACGCGTCTACATGGATCAGCTCACCACTCACGGGAGAGTGGCCCTCTCTGGGCGGTCCCTGGAAGGCTCTGATGATTTGCAGTCGTGCTGCCGGGGCGCAACATGACTTTAGGTTTGAAGAAGGGATTTCAGTGAGCACCTTTATTCTTGGTTCTTCAGGTCATTTTTTTATCCTGCTGCTTTACTTATGTGACTCTGCTCGTTCTCTATGAAAAAAGACATTAGAGATCACATAGGTCACGTCACGTCGGGATTTAGCCCTCCTGGGTCTTGGTATCGCCTCCAACCTTGGACTTCAGTTGCAAATCCTGAGCTTAATCACTTGCTGTTATTTTCCTCAAACAAGCATTACTTTGTCCAGAGCGTCCAGAACCAGGGTCAGCTTTTTCTAGTTCCTGTGCATGGAACTTAAAACGCATGGGACACAAAGTCGCACATATTTTTTTAAAGATGTTTGTGCTTTCTTTTTTTTCTGAATGAGTGGGTTTTTTAAAAAAATGAATCATATCTTTAGCTCTAATTCTAATTCTTTTTTTTTTTTTTAAACCTTAGCTGTGGATATGTTTGCTTTGTGTTGCTATTGTTTTATTTTAGAGAGAGGAAGGAAGAGAGAAAGAGACATCGCTCAATTGGTTGCCTCCTTTACGTGCCCCGAACAGGGATTGAACCTGCAACCTAGGTAGGTGCCTTGTCTGGAAATCAAAGCTCTTGGTGTACAGGATGACGCTCCAACCAACTGAGCCACTGGCCAGGGCTGTTCTAATTCTTTTTTTTTTTAAATATATTTTATTGATTTTTTTTTTACAGAGAGGAAGGGAGAGGGATAAAGAGCCAGAAACATCAATGAGAGAGAAACATTGATCAGCTGCCTCCTGCACGCCCCCCACTGGGGATGTGCCCACAACCAAGGTACATGCCCTTGACTGGAATCGAACCCGGGACCCTTGAGTCCGCAGGCCGACGCTCCATCCACTGAGCCAAACCAGTTCTGGCAGGGCTGTTCTAATTCTTATTTGACCAGCCTTATCTCCGACCTTTACATGGGAAGTTGAGTTGTGCAATACTACTTAGGGTTTATTAGAGACGTCTTTCCTACCTTTTAAAAATTATTTGCCAGCTAAAAATGCTTTTGTTTCTTCTTCATTTTCATAATTTTTATCTAGCACTCAATTTAAAAAATATATATTTTTATTGATTTCAGAGAGAAAGGGATAGAGAGAGAGAGAAACATCTATGATGAGAGACTATCATTGATCAGCTGCCTCCTGCACGCCCCCTACTGGGGATGGAGCCCAAAACCTGGGCATGTGCCCTGACCTGGAATCCAACTGTGACTTCCTGGTTCATAGGTCAACACTCAACCACTGAGCCACACCGGCTGGGCTAACACTCAATTTCTTTATCAACATAAAACAGTACCACTTCACCTGCTGGTCCAAGAGTGATGGGCTGAGCTGTGAAACATGGGTGTTTCCCATTAAGATACTCAGCAGCAGCATTCATTCACGGAGTGAAGCCACTCTGTCAGGCCCCATGCCAGGTGCCCAGGACCCAACAGGGCACAGGACAGTGCCCCTGGCCTCCTCCAACTTGTGCCCCAGCTCCCTGTGTCATGCAGATGCCTTCCCCAAACGCTCTTGCTCATGCTAAAACTTACATTAAGCATCAGCAAAATAACATTAAGCACCAGCAAAAGCTTCCTTTCCCCTGAATCAGAACAGACTGTGATGAACAGTTTCTTGGGAGCCAGGAAATCAAAGAAAAAGGCACCGAGGGGCAGGAGACATGGAGGGTGTCTCTTCCTGTGACCCTCTGGGTGCTCAGGATGTTGACAGGCCACACTGAGGCAGCTCCCTGAGAGCCACGCCTCCAAGGAAGCAAGCTCTCCGAAGCAGCAGAGGGTTCGGCAGTGTGCCTGGGACCGAGGCACGCAGGGCTCTGAGCTGGGTTTGTGGCTCTGGCCCGTGTTGCTCAGTGGATAGAACGTTGGCCTATGGACTGAAGGGTCCCAGGTTTGAGTCCGGTCAAGGGCACGTACCTCGGTTGGCTCCTTCCCGGCCCCGGCCCTGGTTGGGGGTGTGCAGGAGGCAACCAATCGATGTGTCTCTCTCACATCAATGTTTCTGTCTTTCTCTCTCTCTCCCACTTTCTCTAAAAATCAATGGAAAAATATCCTCCGGTGAGGATTAAGAAAATAAAATGAACTGAGTTTGTGGTACAGCCCTGGCTCCTCTCCCTGGGCTGGAGCTAAGCACATTGCACATTGGCCTCCACTACCCACTCTTACCTGGTCCTGCCCCCCCGACCCCCACCCCCATCCGTTACACGATCACCTTCCTCTCAAGAAAACCATTCCCTGGTGGGGGTTTCCGTGCCGCTGGTACATCTGATACATGTTCAGTGGGAGTCTCCCAGGAGCTCCTCCACACAGAATCCTCATCACATCGTAGGAAATGATGTTTTCTTTAATCTTAGAAAACGAGCGATTTGGTCTGAAATTATGACAAGTAACTTGGAATTTGTTCTCTCCTAGGTCTCCAGAGCTCCCGGAGTAACCCCTCCCTCCAGGCCACACTCAGCAAGACAGCGCTTTCCTCTTCCCTGAACAGCCACCCGCAGACCTCGCCCAGCGCCTCTACGCTTCACCCTTCACTGCGCCTCTTCTCCCTCAGCAACCCCTCTCTCCCCACCACAAACCTGAGCGGCCCCTCTCGGCGCAGGCAGCCTCCCGTCAGCCCTCTCACGCTCTCTCCGGGCCCCGAAGCACATCAGGGTTTCTGCAGACAGCTCTCTTCCACCAGCCCCATGAACCCCTATCCTGCCTCGCAGGTAAACATCGCTTCGGCGAAACGGACTGAAGATGGAGGAATCGCTTTCCTTCTCTCTGATTTTGGACTGAGTCCATTACACCCAGTTTGTCCATGAGGTCACTTATATGTGAAATCAGAGCGGAAATGTGAATAGTTCAGAATGCATTACTGATTTCCCAAGAGCAGGCCTGTGTTGATTATTCTTAAGCAAACATTGAACAGTTTGCAGGCGTTGTAACTCTCAAAGTTGGGGTTGGGGGAAAGTGGTAAGGTATAGAGGACGCAACCCAGGTCTGCTCTGCCTACCTTAGCTCAGGGAAGCAGGTATGGCAAGTCAATCATTGGCTCTCTACGTACTTTATTTATTTTTTTAAATATTCGTATTGATTTCAGAGAGAGGGAGAGAGATAGAGACATCAGTGATGAGAGAGAATCATTGATTGGTTGCCTCCTGCATGTCCCACACTGGGGATCTAGCCGGCAACCGGGCATGTGCCCTGAATGGGAATCAAACCCAGGACCTCCTGGTTCATAGGTCAACGCTCAACCACTGAGCCATGCAGGCCAGGCAGCTCTCTACGTACTTTAAACCACAAGGAAAAGCCAAAGAAGATGGTGACTATCTCCCTAAAGCTTTGCTAGTGGACCTCGTCCCTAACTGTGACTGCAGAGTGAGAAACAGGACTTTTATTGCTCATGAAAGAGTAGGTGTAATAAGGGTCATGTCGCCATGAAAGACCCAAAGAAGCCTGGTTAGGAGGAGGCTGAAGTCCGAAGCCTGTCACAGAAGCTCATGTTTTCATAGCTGTTTTTATCCTAAGCTCTGAGGGTGGTTTCCTTACCAGAATCATCAATGAATATATTTTTAACCTGTTGGTCACTCCCTAGATACATTATAACATCACTCACTAACCACTTCTCCAAAAATGAGTAATGGCTTAGCGAGGGGGAGTGGACCGCACACAATGGAAGGATTGGCAATCCAGTTATTAGTCATTCTGTACCAATTACCAGCTACGGGATCTTGATTATATGAGTAATCCCTTTGGGGAGAGGGTATTTCATAATTGTTTTTTAATGGTTCTTTTTATGCTATTAATTTTATTTTGCAAAATTATTTGACAGGCTATGAAAAATATTACTCAGGCTTCCTAGATACATTTTAAGAAGACTATATGGATAGAGAGCATCTTTCTTCAGATGTTTCCATTTTTAAATTCGCTTTATATTTGTTTTTGTTTTTTAAATCATTGTTGTTCATGCTTATAATTTAAAAAGTCAAGAAGTTCTAAGGGACTTGTTGTGAAGTTAGAGTTGTTTCCCCTCCCCCCATATTTCTCTCTCCCTGGAGATGACTGCGTTCAACCACTTTAGCTCATCTCTTTGGTTTAACCACATTATTTCAAGCTTATTTCGTCCTACAATGTTAGTGTTAGGTGTTATCTAGTGACATTCTACCACGGAAGATTAGTGCTTTGTTCTCCTTCAGCTCTCCCAGTCCTCCCACACACACACACACACATATTTCCTCCTCCTCCTCCTTCTCCACCGTGTGGTTTATTTTGATTTTGATTAGAGCAGTACTCCGTGTGTAATGTTTTCATAGTTATAATAATGTAGTCCGAGTTTAACTATATAGTACACTATGAAATAACAAAGTACCATTTTTTTTTCCTCCTGGGTTTTAATAAATATCTTACTTTGTTAGTTTGGTTCTATGTATATATTACTAATTCAATCCCAAACGCTTGGAATTGGGTAGGTCTTTTCTTAATACAGCTAAAAACAAGTCCTCCAGCCCAGCCGGTGTGGCTTAGTAGTTGAGTGTCATCCTGTGAACCAGGAGGTCAAGGTTGGATTCCCGGTCAGGGCACATGCCTGGGTTATGGGCTGGATCCCCAGTGTGGGGCATGCAGGAGGCAGCCAATAAATAATTCTTTCTCATTATTGATGTTTCTATCTCTCTCTCTCCCTCTGCTTTCCTCTCGGAAATCAATAAAAATATATTTAAAAAAATAAAAGCGAAAACTGTAGTAGCTTTACAAAATAGAGTACACGGCATGATTTAAATGTCTTTATCCTATCCACCATTTCATTGATAACTGACTGGATATAGAATGCTAAATTTGAAATAATTTTCTCTTGAGATGTGAAAGTTATTAATCCATTGTCAATTTAGTTTCTAGAGAAATCCACTTTTATTCTGATTCATAAAACTTTGAATGAAATCTCCCTTCTCTTTTTTTCTCTGGAGGCTTATAGGATCTTCTTTTTGTCCCCAGTTTTCTGAAATTTCAGAATAACATGGCTTGTTTGACATGAGTCTGGATATTTGGTGGCTTTCTTCAATCTGAAAACTCACATCCTTCTTTTCTGGGAAATTTTCTTTTTCTTTTTTGGTTAATCTTCACTGAGCATATATTTTTTCCCTATTCATTTGAGAGAGAGTGGAAGGAAGAGAGGAGGGAGGGAGGGAGACCCCCCCATTCATTTTAGAGAGAGTGAAAGGGAGAGAGGAGGGAGGGAGAGAGAGAGAAACATCGATGTGAGAGACACCCAGCCATTGGTTGCCTCCTGCACATGCCAGGGCCCAAGCCAGGATCAGGCTTGCAACCCAGGTACATGCCCTTGACCGGGAATTGAACCTGGACCCTTTGGTCCGTGGGCCGATGCTCTAACCATTGAGCAACCAGTCAGGGTGGAAATTTTCTTTCATTATTTCTTTGATGGTTTCTTGACCTGAGAACCGAGTTGGGAACAAAAAGTGGAGGGCTCAAGTTTAATAGCGAGCCTTCTCATAAACGGTGTTTTCAGGAAAGCGCCTCAACGGGTGCAGTCGGTGAGCCCTGCCCAGAGAGCGTTTGTTGTCCTCTCTCAAGAGTAGAGCCCTCCCCTCTCCTGCAGGCCAGGGCTCAGAAGCCCGCCTGCTTCTCACCTGAACTGTGACAAGATCCTCCTGGCTCCAGCGCTGCCCCCATTCCCACTGCCTGGGGATCCTGAGTGTAAATCAGATTGCGTCTTGCTTTCTCACTGCCGGCGTAGCCGTGGCCTTCCCAGCTCCACCAAGCCAGTCGCTTCTTCACCATCTGCTTTTCATTTTCCAAACCGTGTTGGGTTTCCTTCTCTCCTGGTATCTTTGTCCTCGTGTTGTTGGTTATTTTGTTGTTGTTATTGTTTTAGTGTTGTTTACGAATGTTTAGCGTTGCTTAATGTTGTTTTAGTTTTGGGAGACTGTAGAGTTAAATGCTTTTTTTTAATCTCCCATCTTTAATTAGAATTTATGGCTTAAAAAACAACAACATGGCCCTAGCTGGTTTGGCTCAGTGGATAGAGCGTTGGCCTGTGGACTGAAGGGTCTCAGGTTCGATTCCAGTCAAGGGCACATGCCTGGGTTGCCAGCTTAGTCCCCAGTAGGGGGCGTGCAGGAGGCAGCCAGTCGATGATTCTCTCTCATCATTGATGTTTCTGTATCTTTCTCTCTCTCCCTTCCTCTCTGAAGCCAATAAAAATATATTAAAAAAACAAACAAAAAATCATAAAATATATTAAAAAACAAACAAACAAAAAAAAACCCCAACAACATGGCTTTTATTGAGAGGAAACTGGTAAATTGGCTGGGTTTTTTGTTTTTCGGGACAATAGAAATTGTCATGGAGTGGGAAATGCTTTGTGGGGAAGTGAGAGTCGAGATACCCTTTGAAGGAGCAGAACTAGCTTCTCAGCCCAGCACAAACTGCCCAGGCGGAGGTCTTTCCTCACCGTGACGTCTCCTCATCTTAAAGGACTCAGACAAGGAACTCGGAAGCTCCGCTACTCAGTGACTTTGTTTTCCAGATGGTGTCCTCCGATGGGAGCCCGCTTACCTTCCTGCCCACAGACGCCCAAGCTCAAGTGTCCCCACCTCCCCCGTACCCCACACCCCAGGAGCTCCCCCAGCGTCTCCTACAGCAGCCCCACGCCCCGGAGCCCCCACAGCAGCCACAGGCAGCCCCGTCCCTGCCGCAGCCAGACTTCCAGCTCCTCACGGGCCAGGTGAGTCCCGGCAGGAGCACCGGGCTGGAGGGAAGGCTTATTTCACCCTGCCCTGACTTCAACTAAACGCCCCTCCTTATTCCCTGAAGGGCTCGTCTTTGACCAGCTTCTTCCCAGACGTGAGCTTTGACCAGCAGTCCATGAGGCCGGGCCCAGCTTTTACTCAGCAGGTGAGCTGATGCCCTGCCTCTTCTCAGAGCAGGAACTGCTCAGTGTGCGGGACCCACACCAGGCGGACCAGGCTCACTCCGTCTCTGATTCAGCTGTGCTGGGTGCCCGGGAGAACCGGGATCTGCCCCGGCCCCGAGGAGACTGTCAGCCTCAGCAGAGGAACTGTGTGAACACGTGATGGCGGCTCGTGGTGGCTCTCTAGTCAGAACGGTAGCACGTTCATACTGGCAGGGGCCACAGCAGCCCACTGACCGGTCATGTTGTGGAGACTAAGACCACAGAGGGCCTTAGCCTGAGGCCTCCTTGCTGAGCCCAGCGCAGTGTGGGGGCGGCCTCCTGGGAGGCTGGGTCCTGGCGGGGCAGTCCTTCCCTGGATAGTGCCAGTCAGCCGTTTGCTTTGCTTTGCAATCTTTCCATACACTGGCCTTTAAAAAAATTTTTTTTAATATATTTCTTTATTGATTTCAGAGAGCGAGATAGAAATATCAATGATGAGAGAGAATCATTGATCGGCTGCCTCCTGCACACCCCCTACTGGGGATCGAGCCCGAAACCCAGGCATGTGCCCTTGGCCGGAATCGAACCTGGGACCCTTCAGTCCGCAGGCTGATGCTCTATTCACTGAGCCAAACTGGCTAGGGCTAAAAAAAACTTTTTAAAAATTATTTGTATTGATTTCAGAGAGGAAGGGAGAGAGAGATAGAAACATCAATGATGAGAGAGAATCATAGTTCGGCTGCCTCCTGTACGCCCCAAACTGGGGATAGAGCCCGAAACCCGGGCATGTGCCCTGCCTCCCTCCTGCACGCCCCACACGGGATGGAGCCCGAAACCCGGGCATGTGCCCTGACCTGGAATCCAACTGTGACCTGGTTCATAGATCGACACTCAACCACTGAGCCACACCGCTGGGCACACTGACCATTTTTAACATCCCGGGGTTTTAGAATGTGTAGTAAGTGTGGGCTGGCCTCTGGGATGGAGTAAGGACAGAGGAGCACTTTCCAGCCCTTCACAACAGTGAAATACAGACAGACATGTTTCCCGAGGAGGCGTGGGAAAGCCTCGTGGTGGGAACCAGTGGGCTGCCTCCCTTTGTCTGGAGAAGCCATGTTAGTCTCATGGTCAGTGTCTCCCAGACAAATGATAGAAACTCCTACTTTTGAAAGATTTTAAAAATAGTTTGGAAACTTAATTTCTGGGAAGGCACCTGGGAGAGGCTTCGGTTCTGACCTCTCTTCTTAGTGGTTTTCTCATAGCGAGGCCTCGCCTGCGGCTCCTCCCTCCGAGTGAGAAGAAAGGGCTTCTGTTTTCTCGTTTTTCTGGAAACCAAAGAGGAAAGGAACCTATTGGCTACATCAGCTCCTTGGGGAGCCTTGACAGGGCTCCCGCAGATGGCAGTTCCCACGAGCCTCCGTGTGACTGAGGAGGGGCAGGGGTCAGAGGCCAGAGGGCACAGAAGCCACAGTTTGGCGTCTCCTGGGATGGCTGAGAGGGCCGGGCCGTGCGTGATGGGGACAGGTCCCTACTGTGGACCTCAGGGGCCCTGCTCCACGCTAGGCCCTGCCTACATGGTGGGCAGCACGACGGCCAGGCACTCAGATCTCAGGGAAGGGACTGGAAGAGCCGTTCCCTCTGGGTTGCCCCGGGAGCCATGGTGTTACTCACTCCTCGGCAGCAGAGGTCGTTCCTCACATTGTGACCTTTGATCTTCCAGGTGCCCCTGGTGCAGCACTGTCCCCAGGAGCCACAGGACTCGTTTCATTTGAGACCAAACCTGTATTCCAACTGCGGGAATTTCCCCAACAGCCTCCTGACAGGTGAGTGTGGGCCACCCGCAGCTTCCTCGCTGTTTTGTGTTTTTTTTTAATATATTTTTATTGATTTCAGAGAGGAAGGGAGAGGGAAAGAGAGATAGAAACATCAATGATGAGAATCACTGATCGGCTGCCTCCTGCACGCCCCCCACTGGGGATCGAGCCCACAACCTGGGCATATGCCCTGACCAGGAATCAAACCGGTGACCTCTCGGTTCCTGGGTCAATGCTCAACCGCTGAGCTACACCTGGCTGGGCATTCCTCGCTGTTTTGATTTTGCTGTGTTGGTACAGATTCCATTGCAAGGTCGTGTAAGCGGCAACAACATTAGATAAAGCACAACAGGAAAGTCCCAGCTCGGCTTTTCCTGTGTGAGCGCAGGTGTCCAGCCCAGAGACCGAGGCAGTGAGTCTTTTCTGAAATACTTAGTTTTCCGTGATTGACCACTGTACAGACGGAGAAAGCCTGCAGAATTGGGAGTTGCGTGCCCTGGCTGGTTTGGCTCAGTGGATAGAGCATCGGCCTATGGACCAAAGGGTCCCGGGTTCGATTCCGGTCAAGGGCACATACCCTGGTTGCAGGCTCCTCCCTGGACCGGGCCCTGGTCGGGACTCGTGCAGGAGGCAACCAATCGATGTGTTTCTCTCACGTCGATGTTTCTCTCTGTCTTTCCCTCTCTTTTCCACTTCCTTAAAAATCAGTGGAAAAATATCCTCGAGTGAGGATTAAAAAAAAACAATCAATAAACAAAAAAATAAAGAGCAGTCACCTTTAAAAAAGGGGGCGGGGCATGGGGAGTTGTGGAACTGACTGGGAAGAACGTAGATTCCAGAACAAACTAGGCCTGGAAGTGGCTGGGACACAGAGATCACTGTCCTTCCTGGCTGGGAGGATGACAGGGTAGAGTTTGGGGGTATCATCAGCTTGTTGCCCTCACGCCTCCTAATCCGCCCTGTCGTTCCCTCTTGCTCTTTCTTCCAGAGGACTCGAATTCTGGCCTGTTCAGAGACCTCGGCAGTGAGCTGGAGGGCATGCCCGAGGTCAGTCTGAACATGGACACTTCATTCCCGTTGGAAGAAGAGCTCCAAATTGAGCCGCTGAGCCTGGATGGACTCAACATGTTAAGTGACTCCAGCATGGGCCTGCTTGACCCCTCTGTTGAAGAGACGTTTCGAGCCGACCGACTGTGAATGGAAGGGAATGGGGTGGTCTAATTTATATCTGAACAGCTGAAGTGAAACGGAACAGAACGGAGCCCGCAGCACCCCTGGGCTTTCGTTATCCCGGGCTTCTGACATGGAAAGAACCAATTCCACGGCTCCCAGCTTTGTGATGAGGTCCCACCTCATACACAGTGACTCATCCTGGACCACAGAGCGAGGCCCTGCCTCTCGGGCCTGCGGCGCAGGTGACGCTGTTGCAGGCAGGCTCATTCGGGACTTCCAACGAGCTGGTCATCACCGTGACCATCACCCAGCCGGTCAGTGTGTGAAAGGAAAAAGGTCATGGGCGGAGGCCCAGGAGCACCATGCAGTGCTCAGACCACTGACCCACATCAACACTGAGGAGGGACCGGCTGGTGTGGAGGCAGGTAGGGGCCCCAGGCCTCCACGAGTTGGCTCAGCCTCGAGCGACGGTACCAAAGCCCCAGACGCCTTCTCTGACCCAGCTGTGATGGCTGGGCACCTGCCCGCTGGCGGCAGAGCTATTCAGGGCAGAATCGAGAGCCGCAGCTCTCAGATGCCTTAATTCTAATATGAAGAAGAATTTGCACCAGGAGTCCAAGAGCAGACTCGAGTTGAGCAAGCCGAATGGTAATTTGTTCTCTTCCCATTTATAATCTCCTTTCTGCTGCTTCAGTTCGCCTTTTCCTACGGACAAGAGGAAAAGGAAGACGGTTGTATTCAGTCGCTGAAGGAAAAGCCCCTGGCAGTGGATGAGCCTGAACGAAGGAGCAGTGCTTCTCGGGGACTAGAAGAAAGAAGGGGCCTGCAGGTGTCTCGCAGACACGTGACGTCCTTCAGGCAAGCTCTGGACCAGCCCCAGGTGTGCAGGCCTCTACACACACCACCTGGAGAGGACGGCCGAGGTCTGACGCAGACGCGGCCAGCCGCTGAGCAGCAGCAGAGCGAAGCTCTTGTCTGTGGACCTGGAGTGTTCATGTAACTCCACTGGACCCTCAGCTCCTTGGGGGCAGGCAGGGACTGTGCCTTATTCACCATTGAACCCTCAGTACCAACAAGTGCCTGGCACTGAGCAGGTGCTGTATAACTGCGTGCTGAATGTATGAATGAATGAATGAATGAATGCGTGAAAGAATGAATGCATCTGCCTGCTTAGCAATTAAACAGAAAGATATATGTATTAATGTTTCTACCTTTTTCGTAAAATATAGTAAAGAAAGGTGTAAATTAGAAACATTGAAGTTTGAAATTATGAAACTATTTATTGAACTCAGAATAGAAAGGTAATACAAAAAAAGTTAAAACAAATGCACCTGTGGCCATCACCGCCCCCCTGGATCGCTGCAGCGCCCACCAGGGGGCGGTAGCGCCCACTTTGGGAATCACTGCCTTAGCATAAAAGAGTATTCCAAATTCCCAGTTTCCTCTCACTTAGGCTAGGCCAGCCCCTGACCAGAAACATGGCGGTTGGGTTTGAAGGGAGCAGAGGGGACAGGGCCTGCTGAGCGCCCCTTGGGAGGGGTCTGGGCCGAATCCGGGCAGGGAGGCCAGGCGGAGAGGACGGGCACTAAAGGAGAGGCGAGAGGTGCCAGAACCTTTGCATAGACAGCCACCGCCCTTCCAGAGACACCAGGCGTGTCCCTCCTGAGGGTCACGAGGCGGCTCCCAGCCCAGAGCAGCGAGGCTGTTCTCTGCGGGTCTGAGTCGGACACTGCTGTGCCTCATGGCAGGAGGAGCCCGTCCCAGGGTCCTGGGCGCCAGCCTCTGCAGACCTCGCCCATTCTTTTCCTTCTGCAGAGGCGGTGCCTGCCCTCCGGCCTCTCGAACAGCCCTGGTGGTGAGCAGCTCCATCTTTCTCTGTGACCCCAAGTCTGCCCGCTTCACATCAGCCCCCAGTCCCTGCTGTTGAATTAGGAAATCAAACCAGAGTCCTTGCTGAGGGCTGGCTCAGGAGGGAGCAGCTGGCCTCCCCTTCCCAGCTTTACTCCCAGTTGAACGTCCAGATCCCTGAAAAGATCTGAGAGGGGGGCCGGGGGAGTGACTGGTAAAGTAAAGGGCCTTTCCTTGTGAGGGCACACAGCACCCCATGTGTGCCAGCTCCTGGCTGCCTTCCCTGTGTCCAAGGCCCCCAACATCTGGTCTGGCCTTTCAGACAGAACAGTTCTGATGTTATAAGAGGTTTTTATTAAAAGTGGGGGTCCCAGCATAATTCACTCTGCACAGTGCCTTACCCATGGGGATCATCAGTGTCAACCGGAGTCCTTGCTGAGGGCTGGCTCAGGAGGGAGCAGCTGGCCTCCCCTTCCCAGCTTTATTCCCAGTTGAACGTCCAGATCCCTGAAAAGATCTGAGAGGGGGTCCGGGGGAGTGACTGGTAAAGTAAAGGGCACACAGCACCCCATGTGCCGAAAGAAGCCAGCTCCTGGCTGCCTTCCCCGTGTCCAAGGCCCCCAACATCTGGTCTGGCCTTTCAGACAGAACGGTTCTGATGTTATAAGAGGTTTTTCTTAAAAGTAGGGGTCCCAGCATAATTCACTCTGCACAGTGCCTTACCCATGGGGATCATCAGTGTCGGGGTCCCAGCTCTCTCTGCCTGCGAGGCAGCCCCACCTTATAGCTGGGGACCCCAAGACCTACGTGATGACTTGCGCTGCCCCAGGGGCTTCTGGGAAAAGTGGCTGTTTGGCGGAGTATAATAATGACAATAAGGCTTAGCACTGAATTGAATTTGTCCTTAGGTCCATCAGTCCGATCTTTTCTGTGGGAAGGTTTGGGGCATTATACAACCCACTTTGCTTAGATGGTGGCAAGGACAACCATGGGCAGGTAGTCGCTCTGACCTTCGGCAGGTAAGTCTGCACTCACTGGTGCCTTTAAGACAAGCCAGGTGCAATCCGTGGCCTCCGATGTGGCTGCATTCTAAATATTTTTCAATATTTAGTTTTGTTACAAGAAATCGATGCCTGTACTACTCTCACTTACTAGGAGTTAAACAGCATAGAACTAAAATCTGTCTTTCCATTTTTTCTCTCTGTACGGTTGTGGTTTCTAGGACATGAAGTGTTCGGAGAACATTCTCTTGATCATGTCAAGATGAACATGAATTCTCCTGTCCTGTTTCCGTTCTCCCAAGTCTACTGTATATTCCCTGAGCTGAACGGTTTGTTGTGTATTCCCATCCATTTGCATATTTGAAGACATTTCCAGTTCTGATTCTCGCCGGCTCTTCTGATTCATGCGCAGATGGTTCTGAGCGTGTTTTCATTGCTCATGACGGAACCATCCCAGCAATGAATCAGACTTCCCGCCAGTGTCGTAACTCCCAGGTCCCTTGTCAAACAATATTTAAAGATTGGACTTTGTATAAAGCAGCTTCCAAGTTTTATAATGCATCATTTTACATCTTTCGTAATTAAAAGCACATTGAGGTTGTACCTGCCCTTGGTGTTTTCTTCGGCCTTGAATGTGATGGGTTGGGGGAAAGCCTTCATCCTCGCCACCTCCTGTGCAGCGCAGCCTGCAGTTAGGAATTTCTGGTCCTTGGCTTGACAGGTCCTGCACTGACCTGCTTGTCATGCGTCCCCTCCTGAGAGAAGTTCCAAAAGAAGTAGGGCCAGTGGTTCTGTGGAAGCTGTGAGTATCAGGACAGAGGTTCGTGGCAGTGCCTCAGTGTTCCACCTCCCTCTGCCAGCACCCCTTCCGGACCCCAGTCCTGCCCTCATCTAAACCCCTCCCCCCTGCCCGGCATCTTGGCTCAGTGGTTGACCATCAACCTATGAAGCAGGAGGTCACGGTTCAATTCCTGGTCAAGGCACATGTCCAGGTTGCAGGCTTGATCCCTGATGTGGTGTGTGCAGGAGGCAGCTGATCAATGATTCTCTCTCATCATTGATGCTTCTCTCTCTTCCTCTCCCTTCTTCTCTGAAATCAATAAAAATATCTATATATATAAAAGACTAATGTGCAGATGTCCCCTTGGGAGTTCGACCAGGAGTTCGATCACTCGCTATGATGTGCACTGACCACCAGGGGGAGGCACGGAACAAAGGGAGGCCCCGACTGGCAGCTGGCAGCTGACAGCCAGGGAATGGAGGCCCTGGCTGGCAGCCGGAAGGCCCCGATCGGTCCTGATTGCCGGCCAGGCCTAGGAACCCTACCTGTGCACAAATTTTGTGCACTGGGCCTCTAGTCTATACTAATAAAGGATAATATGCTAATTAGACCAGACGTCTTCCATCCTTCCGGACAAAGCCGGGTCCCGGGTGGTGCCGCCGGGGGTCCTGGGTGCCAGTGGCTGGCCTGGGTGAAGCTGGCCTGGTTCCTGGGTGCCTGCGGCCAGCCAGATGGAGAGAAGCCTGGGTCCCGGGTGCAGGGGCCGAGGCAGAGGCAGTTAGGGGCGATCAGGCAGGCAGGCAAGTGGTCAGGGACGATCAGGCAGGCAGGCAAGCAGTTAAAGGCGATCAGGAAGGCAGGCGACCAGTTAGGAGCCAGAGGTCCCGGATTGCGAGAGGGATGTCCGACTGCCGGTTTAGGCCCGATCCCATGTGGGATCGGTGGTGCAGGCCAGCCTGAGAGAGCCCCCCTGCCCCGCACAAATTTTGTGCACCAGGTTTCTAGTATTTTTAATAAAACTAGTCCCCTGTGGAGGTTCAGCCACGGATGCTCCTTCCTCCAGTGCTCCTCTTCATGGACTGGCCTTTAGCCCTGTCTCCACCTCCCCAAGGATTTGGCTTTGTTTTCTAACTCTGTCCCTCCCTGTTCCCCACGTCCCCGCAGGGTTCACAGGCCTGGCCTAGCCAACGGCCTGAGAGACCACTTTCTCAGCCACACCCACAGCTTGTCACAAAGGTGACTGCTGAAATCTTACCCAGAAGTCCCATCTCTGGCCTAACTTCCTGAGCCATCATCTCTACTTTGATCTACACAGACCCTGTTCTTTGACCCCCACTGAGGATCTATCCCTGTCCCTTTCTCTCCAGCTGCCCATCCTCTCCTGGCGTCCCTTCCTTCCCAGGCCAGTGCACTGGGTCAGTAGCCTCCATGACACCCTTCCTGGCCCCCCTGCTCTGACCCCCGGCCTTTCCCTGTTGGGAGCTCTGCGGAGAGAGACAGCCCCACACTACCCACTGGCTCAGTCCTCCCCTGACAGCCAGGGGCACTCTGACTGCCCCTCAAGGCCCTCATTGTCTCTCTCCACTTGCAGAAATTCCCAGGATCAATTATAAGTATTATCTGTTACTTGAATATGTGCTTTCAAAGAAAGAATGAACAAGTCTTTAGAAGAACTAAATTTGTATGCTACTTGCTACCAAATCTTACTAGGGGTAGGGGCAATGTTTTAGTTAGTTAGTTAGTTAATCCTCACCTGAGGATATTTTTCCATTGATTTTTTTAGAGAGAGTGGAAGAAAGAGGAAAAGACAGAGAAATATCGATGTGAGAGAAACACATCGATTGGTTGCCTCCTGCATGAGCCCCGACCAGGGCCCAGGCCATGGAGCAACCTTGACCGGAATTGAACCAGGGACCCTTTGGTCCGCAGGCTGACGCTCTATCCACTGAGCCAAACGGGCTGGGGCAGGAGGAGTGTTTTAAATTGATCTTTTTTCGGTCCTATTTGCCTAATGAGTGCTGTACCTTTTGCAAGTATGCTGGAATCGAACCTGGGACCCTTTAGTCCGCAGGCCGATGCTCTATCCACTGAGCCAAACAGGTTAGGGCGAGTGTTTTAAATTGATCTTTTTTCGGTCCTGTTTGCCTAATTAGTGCTGTACCTTTTGCAAGTATGGAATTCAGGGTTTGCAATAAGCCAGGTATACAGGATGGGGCAAGGGCAGGTTTACAGTTGTGAGTGTGAAACAGTTTACTCTTGTATTCTTGTTTATTATCGTATTGTTTTCCACACAAACTACTGTAAACCTACTCTTGCCCCACCCTGTATGTGACTGTGTCCTGATGTGGACACTAGATGGAGCTGAGACCATAAGAGTGGCTATTAGGGCTCAAAACAGCCCGATGGATCTACCGGGGACTCTCAAACTTGGCCTTTAGCCGGGTTGGCACTGGTGTTGGTTAGAAATGCATTCTATGATGGCACAGTATAAACAGGCCTCTCTCGTGAGCATCCCCTGTGGATGGACATGTGAGC